GATGAACACTGGTTCAGAGATTTGTCGCTTAACTGTTGCTGCATGCAGGCTTGGTGTGAGGGATTGTCTTATAGTCAACGACAAAATGTTGCCACATGCCCATCCAGGAGGAGCATGTGTAGTAAACTCTATGCAATCAGCTAGTTTTCCTTAGATAAAAAACGTTAAACCTTTCAGACAGTATGGTCTGATTAAAATGTCTCTGTAAAGTGCCTTGAGATGACACATGTTGGGAATTGGTTCTTTATAAATAAACTGAATTGAAATGCTATTGAGTCGCAAAGAACCAAACAAAAGTATTACATAAACTGGAACGAATCCCCACTTGTTCTCTGGTGTGAAAACAGCCTTATCCTTAAACTATAGGGTGACACTTATCTCCATAATGGCATGTTAGTGTCCCTTGAATCAGGCTTTTAGGGATTTAAATGGGGGCAGAGGAGTTTCCTTTTTTTTCTTTGATCTCTTTTATTATTCTGTTTACTGTGTTCGTTGGCAAGATAACCATGGCTCTTCATCCAGCTTGTCATAGGACACTGAGTTACTTAAACGTTATGGTCTATTGCTTTTCCTATTTTGAAAAGTGAAAAATATCGTAATATCAAACAGTATAATTTATAGTGTATAGCATTGCAATAGTCATGTAAGTAATATTATTTAGCATCACTGTGAGAATTGTTTCTCTACCGAACAAATGTACATAAGGTAGAATTTGCGTATTACCGGTATATTGTATATAAATGTGGACTCTAGTATTTATATCAGTCCTTATCATTTATCACTGCAGAAATTTGACTACTAATGATTGATTTACTATAATTTAACTGACCACTAGTTTTCTGTATATTACCAAAGCTACTTTTTTCAAACTATTGACATTAAGACTTGTGCTTTTTTCATATAAATTGGTGTTGATTTTCCAACAAAATGTAATTATTCTCACGCATAGTACCATCTCTAATGTTGAAACAGAAAAAGGACAGAAAAAAAGGTTTTCAAGAGTGTTGTGATAAAAAAAAAAAAGTGTGCAGCACCACATGCCTGCAAGCAGTAGAAAGGTTTACTCATTTTTCACCCATCATCAATAATGTAGCCCCATTTACACTGGAGCTTTTTCCACACAAAGCACCTGCTGAGAGGGGATCGTGTTAATCCATATGTTGTTGAGCTGTTAGAATGAAATAATAACAAGAGGCTGAGGAGTGTCCATCAACATGTGTTTGTGTGCTTTAGAATAAAAAGGATGAGGAGAGATGTTTTTACCCCAGACTCAGAGGTCAAACGTGAATCACAGCATAGCTAAGTACTGCTGAGCCCTCAATCTGTGAGAGGAGGTGGATGCCAGAGATAAGATACAAACTAGAGAAGTGAAAGAAGGGTGCTGATTCTGTGTAAGAATTGGGTGTCAGGGGAAAAAGTTCATTAAAAACGTCAAAACAAGTTTATTACTGAGTGAGGTTCAATCAAATGGTAAACCTATTAGCTTATCATCGGTGTCATTTCTACCTTTTAGCAAAGCCCTGGATTTGAACAAACAAAAGCAAAGGGCTGTGGCAATGACTATTCTGAGAGGTTAGTGAAGTTTCACGCAATTCCTTATTTCTCCTGACTTTCATTACCCAGCCAATCATCTCTGCCATGGTTGCCCGATTTTATCATTATCAAGCAACAGTTCCCATCTAGGAACTCATCAAAGAGGTTAAAAAACAAATCTACTCTTTTTATTGCCTGAAAACAGTGCAACAGAAATGAGGCAGCAGGTATGCTGGTGATAAAGCCATTATAGAGTGGAAAGCTCCTCCTACTGGTCAAATAAAGGAACAGCAAGATAATTAATGTAAAGACTTAAAGGAGGCCTGGATGTGGATGGGTGACCTTTTCTCCTGGACAGCAGCAGATTATTACTATAATTTTAATAAGGTGTTAAATATAACCATTTATCAGTTTATAATGCTTTATATTTAAAATGTAGATATCATGTTCACATTAGAAAAAAATAAATTATTAAAATGAGAATGAATTTTGTTGCCTGAGTGACATAAAGGAGAATATATTTAATTATCATTATTTTACTATTAAGTTTTTATAATTACACTTTTTTATCAACCATGAAGAAAAAATATATAATTTTTAAATTCAAGTTAGAATATTCTGATTCTCCACCCACATAGAAAATCACAAAAACAGACGACTGAAAATCTGATAGAGTCTCTCTAGTGGGAGCTTTGAATCAGTTTCCATCCTCTCCAGCTGACCTAAACAGTTTGAATAACCCCTGCGCTTTGGCGGGTCACTGGCTCCACTCTAGTCTGAGGCAACCATGTATCTTCCTCTGGCAGGGGGGCTATCGCAGCGTGATTCGATCAGGTTGGCTGATGCTGTGTGTGGGTGTCTTTGTTTGTGGGCTTGATCTCTGCAGAGCGTCTGCAGATGATAGGGGTCAGTGACACTGCTTGTTTCTTTCCAAGAAGGAGCTCATGGAGAGGACAAACAGGTTTAACAGCAGTCTATGGAAGCCACCAAGGACTTCCATCCGTCTGTTTGTCATTTCCACAGCCACATATTCATACATCAGGAGACAGGGTTGCACATATATGTGTTTGTATGGATAACTTAACAATGTGGAATGGTTCTGGTAGCTAGCCTCAATAAAACCTAAAGTATGTTTAATAGAAGATGAGACCAATATCATTTAACACAGTCATTTATGGCATTTAAGCTGAATATATATTAATTTCACCATCTAGTTTGTTCCAGTCATTTATGCAATCATACTATTATCATCAAATGCAGCTTTGAGAGAATTTAGTCTGGTTTTATTTATACAACAGCTTCAGCTCTGATTTAGTCGTTTATTATAATTTTATGACTCTTCTTTTTCTCCAATATATATGTGAGATACAGCATTATTTCTCACACTTCAATTTAAATAATCGTTATTGTTTTGTTTTAAGCTGATTTCTCTTATTGTTTATAATGCATTTGAGTTAATTTCAACAAACTGCAGATGGGAAATATTTTTCTCATTGAATAGCATGAAGCCAGTGCAGCATAGAAAGAAATAAACTCAATAGACCATAGATAAAATTGTCATTTACAATTGTGTCATTGCTCTAAAACAATGCATGCTCTATTAATTTATCACAGAATTTAAAGATTGTGTCTGGAAATGGTGTCACAGTTACAACTAGTGTGTTGCAAAAGCTGTGGAATTTACAACTTGCTTTGTTAAGTTACCCTGCTAATATGTACTCAGGCTATCTGTGTTTTTTGAAAAGCAGCCAATATGAATCTGAATGCTGGAACCTCTGCTCTAGTTAATCATTCGTACTTATTTTTTAAGTTCTTGTGGTCATTGTTTTCAGAGGGGGAGAAACAAGTCGCAAAGGTCATCAGGCCGAGATTCAAACATGTGATGGTTGCATGGAGGACCAAAGCCTCTGCACAGAAACATGCATCTGGGATTATTAAAGTATTTAAAGTATTTCTGACAACCTCTGCCCCACCACTGTCCCTGATTATTCTTACATGTGACATACTGTAGATATTTTATCGTATACAGCAGCAGACACTTCCTTTAGATGATTTCCAGTGTAGTTATGTCTTTTACGATTTTATTTTATTTTTTCATTTCGATGTGAAATCCGTGCTGTTTTTCATGGGTTCCTTCAAAAAATCCAAAAATATTAACTATTAATTGCTATTTTTTAGCCACACGGGGAATGATGTGTGGAAGACAAGATATCATGCATTAGTTTACATTATTTTATCCATTCATTTTCTGAACCTGTTTAATATCTGGAGGGATGCTGCTTTCTCATGGTCATTGAGTAAAAGGCAGGGGATATCCTAGACAACTCAACCGGTCAGTCCGAATAAAAAAGCCAAAAAAAAAAAACTTTAGACATACCCGAGGTTATAATAGCATCTCTAACTAACATCAACTTAATGTTTTAGACAACGATGTGGATCAGATGGTAATAACAGAACTCAGATGTACATGGGGATAACAAATAAAGTCAGGAAAGAAAACCTCAACTGACATTTGAAGTTAAGACCACGCTGCACATACTATCTGTCATTCCTTTTTTCTTTCTATTGTTCAGTTTTATTCATTAGAGTCAGACATTGTCAGACAAGATGTTAGTGTTTTATATGACATATTTTTGTAATGGTTCCCTTATAATGGAAAGTTGTAAAAATAGAGGAAAAACTTATGCATCAGAAATCCTGTGTAAATAATTAATCACCCTGGTAAAGAAGAATAAACATTTTCTAGTCTAAAATGTGAACATCCAAAACAGTTTCATAAAGAAGCAGAAAACTGAAATGACAGAGCTTCCATTACCTGCCCCAATGATTACTTTCCATTTCATGTTAAAAAAAATCCCCCAGGGACACGATTAATGTCTACCATATGTGCAACGGTTCATACAAAGTTCTATGTTATCCTAAACTAAAAGACAGAAGCATAAACACCCTCTGAAGCAACACAGGAGTTATTTAGTGCCTGTATTAATCAGCTTATAATGCTCTTAACAATGTTTGAAGGTTCCACTGAGTCTGAATTAGGAGGAGTTGTTTAATTTTTTTTTTCTGTCTACTGCAGAATAAAGTAATCATTATTTTTACTGACGAAAATTGTTTTGAAATTTGAATATTAAAATATGAATCGATTAATATCAATATGTCTTGAAAAAAGTTAAGTAGCTTTTAACCTTAGCACTCCACCTGTGTTTTGGACTCCACCAATATTTATTATATTGCACAAACAGTTATACACCACAACTACTTTGACATTCTCCTATATTGTTTGTTAATGCTTTTATTCTATGGAAGATAGCGCCCCCCCCCCATGACAAAAGGACACCCAGGGCAGACAGCCTTACCTCTCACCCCTAAAAATCCTAACTGGCTCAAGCACTTTCAGAGTGACGCTTGAGAAAAATGATAGAGTTATTCCACCATTAATATAAAGAAAAGCACACGTATTTATTTACCTTCCACACAGGAGGGTCTGGCTCTGGTCGTCCCAGCCACCTGCCCGGGAAAGCAGGAACACTTGACGGTTTGAGAGCGCTCCTCGATCTTATTCTTGTTGCAGCAGCGATGGATGGCCACCACCTCACATGTGCCCTGTTTCACCTGGTATGATACTGTGAAAGACAGCAAAGAGATATACAAATATAAATTGACTTTGATATTTGGTGAATTACTGCAACACATAAAGATTCAATTCTAATCAGTACTTGTTATAAGTACCGATAGCTGAGCATTTTTTTACGTTAAAAAAAGTTGAAGAATTTCAGGGAATTTAAGCTCCTTGGTTTATTCCAGGCTAAGTATTTGATTAACAAATAAACACTTTTTAGCTATCCTTTTTTCTCAGCAGTGTGGCCTCATTAACTTCACCTCAAAGGCACCTCTGGTTTTGTCATTGTGTGCAGAGAGAGAGAACACAACAGCATTAGATGATGAAAAAAAAATCTTTTTCAGAAAAGTAAACCAACTGATGGATGCAAAGAGAGCAACACCTCAGGGGGAGCACTGTGAAAAAGAAGCCCCCTATAAAGATAAAAGGATCCTCCCTGTAAAAGACAGAAAATGTTTTTGTGCCATTTAACTTTTTGTGTTTGTTTTGTTCCAATTAAAATGTGTCAGCATGCTCTCTGAATCCAAGGGTCATATGTTTAGAATAATTGCTTTTTTGCACGACATAATACAAACATTTTCTTTAACCTCCTTCCCTGATCAAAAGTTTCTAAGAGCAGGGTATTTTTTTCACTAAGGTAAAAGTGATCAGATCCAGTTACGTAAATCATGCCAGGTTCGTTATCTTGCTATGGTCACACATACAGTTTTCAAAATAAAACTTTGAAGTTGAGGACAGTTTGGTCTTTAACTTATACACATTCTGTTCAATTTTGTTAATCACATTTACATAGTACTTTTTTATAACATCTGTGATATCAAGGTACTTTACAAAATCAACTAATTTAATCCTCAGTTACACGTTCCTATTCTATCACTGTTGATAAAAAAGTGAATTTTAGTTTTAATAGTAAAAATGGCTATGAAAATCCAATGAATTATAGGTAATTGCCTTTGCAGCATTCCCTTCTCCTAAACAAGCATTTGGAGAGAGTGAGTAGTTGACTTCATCAAGATTTTCCATTTTAACCCTGTTTTGCAGCAATAGCTCACACTAAGCATGCACTTGACATCAGTGGAAAGTATATACTCTCTTTTAACAAGAGGAAACCTGCTGTTCAATATTTTTAAGTGGAAAGATAACAATAAAATTTTATGACAGTTTATTTGGCACCAAAAGAGTAGCAGATGTCAGGGTTGATGGTCATATATGCCCTTTTAACCAGGTTTATATTAGGTGACCTGCCGCTTTAATTTGTTATCTTCGTTTTTTTTTTCTGCTTAGAACAAAGCTAGTGCAATAAAATAAAGGATTTTAAGTAAAACAATCAGATATCTAGGGTGAGGGTGTGATTGTAGTTAGTATGTAACCAGCCCTGTAATCCACATAACAGATTTTAAAATAGCTTATTATTCCATTTAGTCTCATGAAGAATGTATTCATTAATATCCCTTTTGTTTACATTATCTATTTATACTAGTTATACATGTGATGGTAGTCTTTTGTTGTGAAAGGGCCAACAAGGACAACTACCTCCCTGCAAACACACACATAAGAGCTGCTTTTTAAATGGAAAAAGTAGGATACTGTTAAAGAAATTATTTGGATTGTTGTCTGCAATGTAAATTTCTGCAAAGTAATTTTGTCAAACATATGTCATATTGCAGATATTTGTAGACATTGGAAGAATGGTGCAGTACGTAATCATATAGAATTATTATTGTTTGTAAACCTTAGAAATGTAAACAAACTTTAGAAGGAATATGTTCAGATCCATGGGATACATCAAGGGGGTTATAATTGCAAAAATACAATAACTTCAATAATGTAAAAATTGTTTGTTTTTGACTGAAAATAATATGAATGTTTTGGAGTGGCCAAGTCATGGTCTCAATTTGGGTTTGCACTGTGTTACTGTGGGAAAAGTTAAAAAATAGAGGTTTATGGCAAGGGCGCCTTCCAACCCCAGAGACTTGAATCTATGCAACTAAGATAAATTGCAAAAAAACTCCATTGGAAACATGTAAAATATATAAAAATATAAGGTTTGATTTTAAAATGCAATACTTTAAAATTGATAATAGAGCAGTCAATAAGTAAGTAAACATCTGCTTGGAACAGAGTATGAACTTTAAAATCCTTTAAAGTAATGTGTAAACATGTTCAATATGAATGTCTGACTAAATAATGTTGGCACTGGGGTTATGTTTCATTCAGTATATTAAACAGCTGACTTCCCCAGGGAAAATACTTTTATGCCTGGCGACTGTGTTTTCTGTTGGGCAAAATTTTTAGCGGATCTAATCTTTGCTTATGGCTCCAGAATGGTTTGCAGCTGCCTTATCTTCCCTTGCAAAGCTTGTTGTGCGATCCTAAGAGTTTCAGGCACCTTTCTGCGAGCACAGCAAACCCTCCTGGCGACATTACTAGCTACCTATAAGCCTCTTTACACCCCTGGAAAAACCTTGCTTATACTGTACCATAAGCCCCGATTTCATTTATCTACGTGACTTTACACAGACTGTGAAACTTTTCACACTCAGCTGAATGAGCTGTGCAGGCACACACAGAAAGTGCACCCAAACACACAAAACAAGGAGCTTGTAGACACACACACAAACACACACACACACACACACACACACACACACTGTTAGGGTTCTATTTCTGCAGGCCATGGCCCCTCTCATCCTTTCTGATTTAAAGTTTGTTTGTTCTTCTCTCCAGAGAGCCCCATCAATGATCCCTGGCTCTCTGAGGGTGCCCCCCTCCACTATCATCCCTCCACTTTCATTTCCCTCACTCCTCGGACTCAGGCCCTCCTGAGGCTGGAGAAGCTGCCAGATTACCCAACACACACTCCTGCAAACATAAAGCCTCTATCCACTGATGAAATGAAAAAACTGGGAAAAAAAAGAACGTACAAAACACCAGAACACAACAACTATAAGAACAACTGTAATTGCATTATTAATACCACAGTTAAAGCTCAGAGTAACAAAGTAAGAAATTAAAGTAAATCCACCACAATTAGCTCCCCTTGTTTAATCCGTTATCATAATTGCTCCTAACTGAAATTTAATTCCCTTGCTTTCATAGAACTCTAGCTGAATAAAATTGCTCAGTCCCCATTGAAAAAAGCAGCCTGTTAGTAGGAAAAAAAGAAGAGCGGAGATAAAGTCAACCAGGTGCAGGGAGAAGGTGCCACATCCAGCAGAAAGAACAAAGAGCAGCACGTCTTTAGCTGCAATAATGAGGTCAGAAGGTGATCAGGTCTCCTGTAATGATCGCCTGCTTCAGACCTGGGATGGAGCTGTTGGTAGTTTGGAGGGATGGCTCAGACTTTTAAAAGTTAGGCTCTGTTTAAAGATAATAACCAGCTAGAAAAACAGGATAAATACAGTGCATTCTGAAATAAGTTAGTCTACAAAGAGAATGCAGGTCCAACTACAATTAATTACCTCCACTGGTAATGACTAATTAAGTTTGCCCAACTTAACCTATACAACTTGGCAACTTATAAACCACATAAATTAAGATAAGTCAAGTTGATTCCATTACTTGTTACCTATTCAAGAAATGAATTTAAATTTGAGCTGGGTTAACTTTTTAGAGAGCACTTTTTCCACATTTATTTATATCTGTCGTGTGAGGTGAAATAAACCTTGTTTTCCCAAAAAGAATTATTGTAGATATCCTTATAATTAAATAGTAAAGCATTAGGATAAAACATACTAGTGACTGTGTGGACCAGATGAAGAAGAGATGTGTCACCACAGTCAGATCAGGGGAGCCGGGAGTCTAAACTACCAATATGAAAAAAGGAAATGTGAAGCAGTTTGATGTGCTTTTATGGTTCTGTGTTTGCAATGTGTAACAATGTGATTTAACCAAAATGACCTGTGAAATATTTGTAAAATGTATACAGTCTTTCATACACATAAGTAGCAGAATAATGGGGACTGAAAAACTTCTGCATTTTTGTAGAATTGAAAGTCGGCTACACCATCATGGAGAAATAAAATGTGTAGTTCTGCTGTGCTGGGGATGTATAAAATATATCAAAATGTGATTTTTGAAGTAACCTAAAAAGACGAAGAGATAAATAAAGGAAGAGGCATTCTCTTCATAATGAGTTAAACACTTATACAATGATTTTGATCTCAACTGTTCTGACAATATTTACTTATTTACAACATGACAACACTAAGAACTTGAAATATGATTCTGTTATACCAATATGGAAGATTAAACAATGGATGAATTACATGACAGATTATAGATTGAATGCAGCCATGTAAAACTGTCACAAGGTGGCATATGTGCCATGCAGATATATCTATTGAATTGCTATTTCACAACCAAAACAGGTATTGGTTATTTGTGCATTTATGTCTTTGATATGAAAATACTGTCAATTCTTTTTCACCTGCACAACGAGCAATTGGACCATCTGCAGGTTGTACAGACTTCTTACCAAATTTTCAAAGATTTCTTACATCCCAACACAGCTGGAACTTTAAGATTTGCACATCCTCCTCAGTGGGTCACACAATTCTGTGTCCACAGCCACTAGGTGTACCACAAAAGAGGCTGAATACTGAAGACCACAGGACCCTCTCATCAGTAACCCCAGGACCTTTTAAGCTTGAATTAAGGTCAGCGTTTCAAAATGCAACCAAAAACTAATCTTTTTACATTGATTGAATATATTCATATGAATGCAATGATATTTAATGCTTTTAGTTTTCCTCTGTTAAGAACTTGATGATCTTGACACCTGTTTTATTAATAAAGTGTATCTGATGTACCTACATGGTTATAATTTACCACAGATGGGCAAGGGAGAAGGAACTGGATTTCACCATAAACATTTCTAATAGAGAATATATGGATACATAGGATAAATATGCAAGAGCCAATAATCACCAACAGAGTGATTATGACAGACCTGGTTTGAGCAGGTACAATTTCCCATGAAAAAACATTCATAACACATATACT